CAGAATTCCCCCGCCCACCATGCTGGCTGGGGGATTCTTGGGGTTGAAGTCCACTCATCTTAAAGTGGCCAAGTTTGGACAACACTGGCCTAGGTGGTTTCAAAGGAGCTTAGGTAAGTGAGCAACAAGGAAGCTAACAGGAATTTGCCTGGGGAGTTCAAGAGGAAGAAGAAATAAGACCGATCAGAGAAGCTCCGCGTGTTCTGAAGGATTGTGTGCTGAGCTGTGAGGAGTGAAAGCTGCAAGTGAAGTGTCCATTGTGGGTAAATGAGTGACTACATCTTCCTGAGTCAGCAGAGATTGAAAGCCAAATATAAAGGCATCCTGGTTCCAGGGAGCACAGCTGACAGAATGAGTCAATAGAGTTAGCAGGAATTTGCCTGAGGAGTTTGGTAGGGTGTGTAAGGGGAATTTGAAACCATTTTTCTTTTGAGTTAAGAGTTTAACCCGAGATTGTGAGAAAGGAATGAGAAGAAATAAAGCTATTCGACTGCTGTTGTTCTAAGAACAAAAATTAAGCAAACAGACAGAGGCAACACGTCTGTCTTCCTGCCTGAAAACACCTGGCATATATTTGCAGCACATGCAAGTTCACAGTAATCGTAGAAGGAAAAGGCAAGGATTGGAACAATGGCTGTAGTTCAGTTGATGGGAAAGGACAGAATTTATCAGTTTGGGACCAACCCAAAGAAGGTGCAATGAAGAGGATAAACTCACCAACTGAGCTTCTCTTGGAGATGGAACATAACAAGTAGTGTTGGATAATGAACATAGGATATAAAGAATTCTATACTATAGACCAGCATTTCTCAACCTTGGGAACTTTAAGACACATCTTACATTTCCCAAGGATGAGAAACACTGTTATAGTCTATAGTAGCACTAGCAGATTTATACAGAAAGGATAAGCTATTCCAGCCCAAAACCATTTGAACAGGAGAACATTTACATTTTCTAGCAAATAACAATTAAGGCTCTTACATAAATGTGTTCAGGATTGAGGCACATAATAAATATTAAGAATCCAATGGCAATTTAAAAAAACTAACACCTTCATTGCAGCACTTTTACTAGTTTATATTATATAGCATAATTTTATTTGTGGAAAAATTGTTTTGCATGATTGTTTATGAATCAGATTTCATACATACATTATTCCTGTAATACAGTATGCAAATTTTCCATGGGGTTCAGCCAAGGCCATGCATAAATTTTGCCAAATGAGAGATGGTTCTATGTATATTACCTTTTGTCCGACCTGGATCCTAAAGTGCTTATTATAGCCAAATTTACTACAAAGAGAAAATAGAGATATACTGTACCCTGTCCCTTTGCAAATGGTGTTTGGAGGCATGTTGTCACACAATCAAGAGGGAATACTGAGCCTCAAGATTCATTGTCTTTGATAGATCTGCCCCCCAATACTATATCCAACCTCCTTTTAAGGCCATCCAAATTAGTAATCATCATGTCTTGTGATAATGAAATCCACAGATAACATCCTGCACGAACAAGTGTTTTCTTCTAACTGTTCTAAATATCAATCTCATTAAATTACTTGTGGTCCTAGCATTCTGAGAGAGTGAGAAAAACCTTTTCCTGACTCTTTTTTCTATGCAATGCATGCTTTTATACTTCCTGATCAGGTCCCCCCTGTTGTCATTTTTCCATACCAGATTCTGAAAATTTCTCACCTTTTCTTCAAAGAAAGGTATTTGAGACTCCCAATCATCTTGGTTGCCCTCTTCCTTGGTTTTCTAGCTCTAGGACATTCTTTTTCGCAGCTAGATGTGTACATAGTATTCCAGTTGCAGACATACACATTTTTAGATTTATATAAGGATATTGCAACTTTGGCTATTTTATTTTCAATCCCCTTTCCTAATGAAATGGAATTTGCTTTTTTCATAGTTGCAGAACACCTTCATTGAGCTATCAGCTATGATCCCAAAATCTTTTTCCTCTCTAGTTGCAGACAGCTGGGACCCCATTAGCATACAAAGCTAAAGGTTTTTGTCCCAATGTTAATCATTTTATACTTAGGTTGAAGTTACACTGACCACCAGGAGGCTCTGTATTACTGGATTCATTGGGAATCATCAGGCATGGACAGCCAGGTTTTCTCTGTGGGGTTCAAAGTCTTTACTGGGTACTGAACTTATGGACCTTCACACTTTAGATGACTATATTCAAGATTATTTATTAACAAGGTAAAAAACACTGGTTCTAGCACACATCCTTGAGGAACTCCACTTCTTATTTCACTCCATTGAGAAAATTCCCCATTTATTCCTACTCGTTGCTTTCTGTTTTTAACCAATTATCAATCCATAATGGGACAGGACAATTAGCAGGACTGCTAAGCTTAATCATGAACCTTTGATGAGAAAATTCAGGAACAGAACTGATGACCTAACATAGCAGTAGCAGGTTTAGCATAGCATGGTTGGCAATTTATTTTACTGTTATATATCCAACTATATATATATCTAGTTGGACAAAGAATTATATTGCTATGTATATGTATTATACATTATATCCTATGTATATACTGATTATAGTAACCGGTATGTTTTATTTTGTTTTGTTTTAGTTAACTATTTGAATATTGGTCAACAAAACAAAAACTATTTGATTGTAATTGCTTTCTAAAAGCAACTTCCTTCTTTCATTGTAGGTCATCCTTATTGTCCAGCCATCAAAATGCATAGTTTTTATTGATGAAATGATCTAAATTCACTATTCCTGTAGTTTCTTACACTAAGAGCTAGGAGTTGGCCTCTTTTTCAGCTGAATCCAGATGCCTCTAGTTGGACGAAGAATTAGTTCTGAAGCTATGCCAAGTTCTTGACGTTTCTGCTTAGTTTCAATCCAAAAGTGTCGCAATATGGTTGCTAGAACTGCCTTTTCTTCTACCAGGGCAAAGCGTTGACCTGCATAAGAATTTCAAAAGAAATGGTATTAACAGTTCACTTTAGTGATAATAAATAATTATTCAACATAAGTCAACAACAGTCAAGGTCTCAGATTCATTGACGAAGACTGCACAACCCATGGAACTCCAGAAATGGCTGAACCAGAACACCTGATAGTCCAACAAGTATGACAAATAATGAGTGATGCTAGGAGATGTATTCTAACCTTATTAAGCAGCTAGCTTCCTTATACAGATGTCAAATCAAAGCCATCACACTGAAGCAAGCAGTTATGATCATGGAAAATTGACTGTACTACAGTAAACATGTTGAAAATACATTTCACATCCTTCTAACATTCTCTTCAGCTGTCTCATTCTTCACCTTCTCCTCAGAGGTTTGATATTCCATCATATTACTGAATCTGAATCTTGGGGGTTATACTTTCCGCTGCTTTCAAACACATCGCAGTTTCTTGTAATCACCAAACTTGTAAAATTATTAGTGAGAATAATCCATGCTCTTGGTTGTTCTCATTAACAAATGTTAAATCATGACTATTCCCCATATGTTAACATCATGGGCAATGAAGCTTGTTTAATGATAAAGGCCTCTGCTCCATTTACAGGTACAAAAGAGAAGAAAAGAGCAATGAACACATGAATCTGTGATTTATAAAGAAAAAAATCATTCGTATTGCAGAAAATCATGGTTGCTGGTTATATCTCAGCAATATAATGACTCATACCTAATTTTTTTCCAATGGAAAATGCAAACTACTCAAGTGCAATTGCCAGCTTTAAAACAAAAACAAAAATTAAAAAAAAAACCTGAGTGTCTTTTTTATCTGTACATCACATGCAATTTTTTCTCCTGAGCACAAGGAGAGGAAGATAATATCATAAACAGATGACTTAGAAGGAATGTATAAGTTATCTCCTATTCCCGTTCAGTGCAGGATTCCATGAAACAATGCCTCAGAGGTGACCACCCAGCCTCATTTGAAAACCTCCAGTGCAAGCATATCGAACACTGTTCTAAGCAGATGCTCCACTATTTATCAGGTTCTACCATGAGGACATGCTGCCCAATAGTCTGCCTTCTTTTAATTTAAATTCATTGCCCCTTGACTTGCTTTAAGTTTCAAAAGAAAACAAGCCTGCCAGTTCTCAAACATATCAGCCTTTTAGGCATTTGTAGAGTGCTTTCATTTCTGCCCTTAGTCTTCTCTTTTGGAAGCTAAACATTAGCTGTCCTTTAACTATTCCTCATATGGCTAGGATTCCAGATCCTTATCATCCTGGCCGCTTTTCTCTAAACTCACTCTAGTTTCTCTATAATTCTTTTAAAGTGTGATCCCTAGTTCTGGACACAATGCGTTTAATAAGGCATCACAGCATCAGTTATTTTAACTTCTGCCTCATACTGCTTGCTTATGTTCAGAGGATGTCCACCAGCATCCCTAGAACCTTCTCACATGCATTGTTACCAAGCTGGGTCTGCTCAGATGTCTCCCTATGAGCTTGGGTCTTCAACATAAGATCTTACACTTGTTACAGTTAAACCTCATTCTGTTAGATTCAGCCCAGGGTTCAGGCCTGTGATTTTAAATTGTGACTTTCTCTTCCATAGCATTAGCCAGTCTAGCTTGGTACCATCTGCAAATTTGATAAGTATCCTTGCATCCCTTCCCTTCCCTTCCCTTCCCTTCCCTTCCCTTCCCTTCCCTTCCTATTCCATTCTCT